TTAGTTCTGTCCACATGCAGGTGTATTGAATTTTACTCTGTGTCTCTGGGAAGGTTTGGGCCATTTACTTTAGTGGCGAGCGTCTGATGAACAAATGTTCATCAATAAATCGCTCAATATTAGAGTCGATGACCTGAAAATTTGCAGAAATGGAAAGTAAAATACAACACACAGGTATAGGACAACCACCTCTGGTATAAAATGGTTAAGCACAAGAACCTCTGGCAATGGCAACATGGTAGTGCTATTTGCTCCTGATCTCGAGTTTTGACAAAAACACTCCTTTTATTCCTATCTCAAGATAGCATCTGGCTACTTCACACTAGAGGGGGGTATGGGATGGCTAGAAGGGGAGTTGGGAGGCCATTTTCTTTCACCGACAATTGCTGGAACATAACTGGATTTCTACTTCTAGCTAGAATGGCAATATAAGGATGGTATCTTATTGTTATGTTGACATGGTTCACAAATACACTCTGCAATAGAATGATATGGATGACATCTTGAAGCAATGGTTACATGTCAAGACATCTTATGGGGGACAGATGAGGTACTATAATAATGGCACTTGGTGGAAGCCCTGACAGCAAGAATCCCTCTGCCAATGGACATTCTGGTTTAGTTCTGTCCACATATACAGGTGTATTAAATTTTACTCTGTGTCTCTGAGAAGGTTCGGGCTATTTACTTTAATGGCGAACGTCTGATGAACCAATGTTTATCAATAAATCGCTCAATATTAGAGTCGATGACCTGAAAATTTGCAGAAATGCAAAGTAAAGTACAACACACAGGTATAGGATGACTACCTCTGGTATCAAATGGTTAAGCACAAGAAACTCTGGCAATGGCAACATGGTAGTACTATAGGCTCCTGATCTCGAGTTTTGACAAAAGCACTCCTTTTATTCATATCTCAAGATAGCATCTGGCTACTTCTCACTACAGGGGGGGTATGGGATGGCTAGAAGGGGAGTTGGGAGGCCATCTTCTTTCACCGACAATTGCTGGAACATAACTGGATTTTTACTTCTGGATAGAATGGCAATATAAGGATGGCATCTTGTAATACTGACATGGTTCACATAGACACTTTGCAATAGAATGACATGGAGGACATCTTGAAGCAATGTTGARATGGCAAGACATCTATGGGGGAAAGATGATGTACTATAATAATGTCACTTGGTGGAAGCCCAGACAGCAAGAATCCCTTTGGCAATGGACATCCTGGCTTAGTTCTGTCCACATGCAGGTGTATTGAATTTTACTCTGTGTCTCTGGGAAGGTTTGGGCCATTTACTTTAGTGGCGAGCGTCTGATGAACAAATGTTTATCAATAAATCGCTCAATATTAGAGTCAATGACCTGAAAAATTGCAGAAATGCAAAGTAAAATACAACACTCAGGTATAGGACGACCACCTCTGGCATCGTGGTACAGTGCACAGACCTCTAGTAATGGCAATGTGGTAGTACTGTAGGCTCCTGATCGTAAGTTTTGATAAAAACACTCCTTTTATTCCTATCTCAAGATAGCATCTGGGTACTTCTCACTAGAGGGGGGTATGGGATGGCTAGAAGGGGAGTTGGGAGGCCATCTTCTTTCAACGACAATTGCTGGAACATACACTGGAATTTTACTTCGGGCTAGAATGGCAATATAAGGATGGCATCTTATTGTTATGTTGACATGGTTCACAATAAGACACTCTGCAATAGAATGACATGGAGGACATTTTGAAGCAATGTTGACATGTCAAGACATCTTATGGGGGACAGATGAGGTACTATAATAATGTCACTTGGTGGAAGCCCTGACAGGAAGAATCCCTTTGGTAATGGACATCCTGGTTTAGTTCTGCCCACATGCAGGTGTATTGAATTTTACTCTGTCTCTCTGGGAAGGTTTAGGCCATTTACTTTAGTGGCGAACGTCTGATGAACAAATGTTTATCAATAAATCGCTCAATATTGGAGTCAATGACCTGAAAATTTGCAGAAATACAAAGTAAAATACAACAGAAAGGTATAGTGGGACTTACTCTGGAACCATGGTACAGTGCAAGAACCTCTGGCAATGGCAACATGGTAGTACTATAGGCTCCTGATCCCAGGTTTAGACAAAAACACTCCTTTTATTCCTATCTCAAGATAGCATCTGGCTACTTCTCACTAGAGGGGGGTATGGGATGGCTAGAAGGGGAGTTGGGAGGCCATCTTCTTTCACCGAGAATTGCTGGAACATACAATGGATTTCTACTCCTGGCTAGAATGGCAATATAAGGATGGCATCTTGTTGCAATACTGACATGGTTCACAAAGACACTCTGCAATAGAATGGCATAGATGACATCTTGAAGCAATGGTGACATGGCAAGACATCTTATGGGGGAAAGACGATGTACTATAATAATGTCACTTGGTGGAAGCCCTGACAGCAAGAATCCCTTTGGCAATGGACATCCTGGTTTAGTTCTGTCCACATGCAGGTGTATTGAATTTTACTCTGTGTCTCTGGGAAGGTTTGGGNCTCAATATTAGAGTCAATGACCTGAAAATTTGCAGAAATGCAAAGTAAAATAGAATATACAGGTATAGGACGACCACCTCTGGTATCATGGTACAGCACAAGAACCTCTGGTAATGGTAATGTGGTAGTACTGTAGTCTCCTGATCGCAAGTTTTGACAAAAACACTCCTGTTATTCCTATCTCAAGATAGCATCTGTCTACTTTTCATTAGAGGGGGGTATGGGATGGCTAGAAGGGGAGTTGGGAGGCCATCTTCTTACACCGACATTGGCTTGAACATACACTGAATTTCTACTTCTGGCTAGAATGGATTGCAATGCTGACATGGTTCACACAGACACTATGCAATAGAATGACATGGAGGACATCTTGAAGCAATGTTGATATGGCAAGACATCTTATGGGGGAAAGACAATGTAGTGTTATAATGGCACTTGGTGGAAGCCCTGACATCAAGAATCCCTTTGGCAATGGACATCCTAGTTTAGTTCTGTCCACGTACAGGTGTATTGAATTTTACTCTGTCTCTCTGGGAAGGTTTAGTCCATTTACTTTAGTGGCGAGCGTCTGATGAACAAATGTTTATCAATAAATCGCTCAATATTAGAGTCGATGACCTGAACATTTGCAGAAATACAAAGTAAAATACAAACACACAGGTATAGGACGACCACCTCTGGTATCCTGGTACAGTGGAAGAACTTCTGGCAATGGCAACGTGGTAGTACTATAGGCTCCTGATCTGATGTTTTGACAAAAACACGCCTTTTATTCCTTTCTCAAGATAGCATCTGGCTACTTCACACTAGAGGGGGGGTATGGGATGGCTAGAAGGGGAGTAGGGAGGCCATCTTCTTTCACCAACAATTGCTGGAACATAACTGGATTTCTACTTCTGGATAGAATGGCAATATAAGGATGACATCTTATTGCAATACTGACATGGTTCACAAAGACATTCTGCAATAGAATGACATGGAGGACATCTTGAAGCAATGTTGACATGGCAAGACATCTTATGGCCGGGGGAAGGACGATGTACTATAATAATGGTACTTGGTGAAAGCCCTGACAGAAAGAATCCCTCTGGCAATGGACATCCTGGCTTAGTTCTGTCCACATGCAGGTGTATTGAATTTTACTCTGCGTCTCTGGGAAGGTTTGGGTTATTTACTTTAGTGGCGAGCGTCTGATGAACAAATGTTTATCAATAAACCGCTCAATATTAGAGTCAATGACCTGAAAATTTGCAGAAATACAAAGTAAAATACAACACACAGGTATAGGACGACCACCTCTGGTATCATGGTACAGTGCAAGAACCTCTGGTAATGGTAATGTGGTAGTACTGTAGGCTCCTGATCACAGGTTTTGACAAAAGCACTCTTCTTTTATTCTTATCTCAAGATAGCATCTGACTACTTCACACTAGAGGGGGGTATGGGATGGCTAGAAGGGGAGTTGGGAGGCCATCTTCCTTCACCTGCAATTGCTGGAACATACACTGAATTTTTACTTCAGGCTAGAATGGCAATATAAGGGTGACATCTTATTTCAATACTGACATGGTTCACAAAGACACTCAGCAATAGAATGACATAGATGGCATCTTGAAGCAATGTTGACATGTCAAGACATCTTATGGGGGACAGATGAGGTACTATAATAGTGGCACTTGGTGGAAGCCCTGACAGAAAGAATCCCTCTGGCAATGGACATCCTGGCTTAGTTCTGTCCACATATACAAGTGTATTAAATTTTACTCTGTGTCTCTGGGAAGGTTTGGGCCATTTACTTTAGTGGCGAGCGTCTGATGAACAATGTTTATCAATAAATCGCTCAATATTACAGTCAATGACCTGAACATTTGCAGAAATACAAAGTAAAATACAACACACAAGTATAGGACGACCACCTCTGGTATCAAATGGTTAAGCACAAGAACCTCTGGCAATGGCAACATGGTAGTACTATAGGCTCCTTATCCCAAGTTCTGACAAAAGCACTCTTCTTTTATTCCTATCAAGATAGCATCTGGCTACTTCTCACTAGAGGGCGGCACCTTGTTGCAATGGTAACATTGTTCACGAAGACGCTCTGCAATAGAATGACATGGACGCAATCTTGAAGCAATGTTGACATGGCAAGACATCTTATGGGGGACAGATGAGGTACTATAATAATGGCACTTGGTGGAAGCCCTGACAGCAAGAATCCCTTTGGCAATGGACATCCTGGTTAGTTCTGTCCATGTACCGGTGTATTGAATTTTACTCTGTGTATCTGGGAAGGTTTGGGCCATTTACTTTACAATTGATCGTCTGATGAACAAACGTTTATCAATAAATCGATCTATATTGGAGTAAATGACCTGAAAATTTGCAGACATGCAAACTAAAATACAACACACAGGTATAGGACGACCACTTCTGGCATCACATAGTACAGTGTGACAGCCTCTGGCAATGGACAACATGGTAGTAGTATGGGAAATAGATGCAGTATGGCAGACAACTGAGGTATAGAATGATGCTCACCTTCTGGTAGTCCATGGGATATAAGGACAGTCTAGAGATTTTCTTATTGCAATGCTGATATGGTACATTAAGACGCTCTGCAATAGAATGACATGGATGACAGCTTTGAAGGAATGATGACATGCTTGGATATTAGAATGGTTCATATTGGTTGTGTAGACAAGAATTATATTGTGATATGGGATAAGAAGCGTCAGAGTGTGAAAGTGTGACCTAAGCATGAATGGCGCCTTGTGGCAACTTGAAAGTATGGGACTCTTGACACTTTGAATCAATGGATAACATTTCCCTGTATGAGCACACGGTGGATGGTAATAGTAGCAGTGTCTGTTTGTAAAGTGCAGTGGTAATGGATACTTTAAATTACCCTTTATATGGTTATGGTAAAGTGAGTGGTATCCTATACAGGAAGCAGTTGCTGATTGCACATACTTTTGATTTCCACATACTTTTCTTTTAAAGCAGGCAATTTTCCCTTTTTTCCACTTCTGAGAGTGGTTTTTTGGGGTTTTTATAGGCTGCTTATATTTCACATTTCTTTTATTTCTATTTCAAAATAGCATTAGCTATTTGTCCTTGTGTGTGGTATGGGATGGCTAGAAGGGGAGTTGGGAGGCCATCATCTTTCAACCACAATTAGTGGAGCACTTTTCTGGGATCTTTGCATTTACATGCTAGCACATCAATCACTGTCTTATAATAGTCATTTGCACCTTAAACCTTTTATGATTTTTATAGCTTGCTTGCCCATTGGTAATAACTCTTTTGTGGTAGAAACTTGGACACAGTTGGTCCTCATTGTTGATAATACCCGACTACATCACCTAACAACAACCCACACCAGATATAGATGCAGTATGGCAGAGAAGTGAGGTATAGAATGATGCTCAACCTCTGGTAGTCCATGGGATATAAGGACAGTCTAGAGATTTTCTTACTGCAATGCTGATATCGTACAGTAAGACGCTCTGCAATAGAATGACATGGATAACAGTTTTGAAGGAATGATAACATATGCTTGGATATTAAAATGGTTCGTATTGGTTGTGTAGACAAGAATTATATGGGATAAGAAGCTTCAGAGTGTGTAAATGTGACCTAAGCATGAATGGCGCCTTATGGCAACTTTAAAGTATGGGACTCTTGAGGATCTTTTAGCAAACTGGATTACACTTTGAATCAATGGATAACATTTCCCTGTATGGGCACACGGTGGATGGTAATAGTAGCAGTGTCTGTTTGTAAAGCGCAGTGGCAATGGATACATTAAATTATCCTTTACATGGTTATGGTAAAGTTAGTGGTATCCTATACAGGAAGTAGTTGGTGATTGCAATATTTTTCAGGTTTCCACATACTTTTCTTATAAAGCAGGCAATTTTCCCTTTTTTTCCACTTCTGAGAGTGGTTTTTTGGGGTTTTAATAGGCTGCTTATATTTCACATTTCTCTTATTTCTATCTCAAAATAGCATTAGCTATTTCTTCTCACAAGTGTGTGGTATGGGATGGCTAGAAGGGGAGTTGGGAGGCCAACATCTTTCAACCACTATTAGTGGAACATTTTTCTGGGATCTTTGCATTTACATGCTAGCACATCAATCACTTATAAGAGTGATTTGCACCTCAAACCTTTTTATGATGATTTTTATAGCTTGCTTGCCCAATGGCAATAACTCTTTTGTGTTAGAAATTTGGACACAGTACCTCATATTGGTAATACTACATCACTTACAACAACCCACCACAGATCTAATGTAGTGTAAGAGAGCACGCTTGACATCTTATTAAGTTGTCTTGAGGACTGGGTGCAATTCCCAGATTAGATTATAAACGGGTTGATTGTTAAAGATATCAAATGGTGTCTGATGTCCAAATCTTCTGCCACAATGTTAGAGTGCAAACAATAAATTACATGTTTAGTAAACTGCATTCATTACAATATGTTTGATTTCAAAATTGTGCAAAAATCCATCAATT